GTGCTTCGGCGGTTGGACCTCTATCTCATGCACAAAATGATGAACGGGCTTGGAGAAATCGAGGGCATTCCGTTGGCCCCTCTCATCATGACAGAAATGAGGGGCGTCGTCAAAACTAAAAGAGGTGATAAAAACTTTATTTATCCTCTTTTACTCACAATGATTTTCAGGAGTTTTGGCGTCGATCTTAGAAATGAAGAGGTAGAGTACACCACCGAAGCCCAAATTTTGAGGCCAAGCACTATGGTGTCCCTCCACTTCAAGAAGGTGGGAGGTGCATGGGTTCGCAAGGATGATAATAGGGACGAAGAGATGGGAGAAGCCGCCGCACAACCCGCAGCCCGGCCACGGCGAACTATGGCATAGGGCATTGATTACATTGTTGAGTCCATGGACCGTATGCATACGCGGATGGACGTGTACGAAGCTAACCAAGAGGACCTCCGCACCCGTCAAACAAGGATGGAAGAGCATTTGGACCACATTGACCGAAGGTTTGGGCAATTCACCCAACACTACTATGGTAAATTTGGGCACCCCCCTCCCGACCCACAAAATTAGGTTCCCCTTCTTGTTATTTCATATGACATACTCTTCTCTAAACACACACTTATGGTGGATTGAAGTTTTTATGTTCCTATGGCTTCTACATTGAGGACAATGTAAATCAAGTGTGGGGGGTGAATAATTGGTTGAGAAACTTTGTTTTTGCAAACAATTTTTTCTAGGAAGGTTAAAAATTTTGATATTCTCTCTTTTAAGGGTTTTGGTTGAGAAAGATTTTCTTTTACTAACAAAAATGTATTTTTAGATTAATTAAAATATTTATTAATCTTGAAACCACCACTTTCACTCAAATTTGTGACAATGTTCCAAATCCATACAAATGTGCATAGAGTGCAAATTCAAAATAAAAGTTTCATCCCAACTCCAAATCACTCTATTGTCGGATTCTCCTCATTTCTGACAATCTAGATATATAATTACGGAGAACAAAAAAAAGAGTTTATATAAAAAAAACTCATGTTCTCCTAGAATAGCCTTTTCTACAAAATCAAGTTGTCAGTCCACAAAAAAAAACACCGACATACCCACACATTGCCTAAATTGTCACAAAATAAACCCATCAAGCGTTTAAATATTTTTCTTAATCTTAAATACATTTATTGTGAGTACTAGAAAAAGGTTTTTGGCTCGAGAAAGATTAAAGAGTTTATATATAACTTTTAACATCTTATTAAACTTTTAATTTGCATGGTTTAGTTTCTTTTCTAATTATGCATCAATACAAAAAAATTGCTTGAGGACAAGCAATGCTCAAGTGTGGGGAAATTTGATAAGCACAATAATTACTTATGTTTTACATAAGTGATTATAATTATATGTACAAAAATTAAAGCAAAAACAGGTAAATATTCCCGAATGAGCGGAAACATGCAATGCGCCTTGGAACAGCAAAAATAGGGTCAAAAGCAAAAAGGGGTCGAAAACCGGCACTTCTGAATAAATTTCGGGCATCAAAAGAGAAAAAAGAAGCTAAGTACACATTTGGGCGCAGGAACCGGCGCCGGTCATCATACATCCGGCGCCGGTCGTTTTTTTTTTTCAAAAGCGGCATGTTTCAAACCGGCACGGAGCGACCGGTGCATTTTTGCACACGACCGGCGCCGGACACCTCATAACCGACGCCGGTTGTTCCGATTTCTGCTACAAACATAGCTATGTGCAAAAGATTTCTTGATGGGAAACTTCATCTTCTCCATATTTGATCAGATATCTCCTCCACACCTGTTTGTTGGGCTCGAATAGACTAAAAGATGTCATTCTTTAGCCTATATAAAGCCCTCAATTCATCATACAAATACATTCCATTCCATAGATTAATTCTTAGTTTTTATATTTTTGTTCTTGGTATTTTCTTCAAGTTCTTGAGGAGGGAAGTTCATCCTCCGAAATCATTGGTGTTTAGGTATTATTTCCTTTGTAATTTCATGTTCAATTACATTTATTATTGTATTGTGATTAATATGAGCATTAGAGGCTAATTTCTTAGTTAAGGTTAGGGATGAACTTCTATGCCCACTAGGTGTTCGGTAAAAGTTCTAAACCATTAAATTGTGATTTATCCTTTATATATTGATTGTTTATGACTATGGTGTACAACATAGAAGTATGTTAAATTTAGTTTATACTTGCAATTAACGTTGAAGTCTAAACTATGAACATTAAAGGATAAACATATATAGTACCGAGAATAGAAATATATCTGGTCTTATATGATACGGGTGTAATGTCTTTATATTCAACGGGGTTTTCGGTAGATGAATGTAAGCCGTAACGGGACTTACACGTAACGAAAACCACGCTCTCGCTGCCTTAACCGGAGTTGAGAATATATTAGCGACATCGTATTCATAATTATTGGTAAAGAACTAATATTCAACCCTATTAAAGCATTTAAGTGATTCCCGAAGTCTTAGTTGTTGTTATCATTTATCTTGAACTCAAAGTTAGTTAACGATTATCTTGTTGAACAAAAAGTGAAAAAACCAAAAATATAAAACACAAATCAAAATCCCTGCACTTTATTCAATTCTTCATTTAAAGTTATCTACTCTCAGACTTGAATTAAACAACGTTTCCTTGTGGATTCGACCCGGTATTTTACCGGAATTTATTACTATATCGGCACTTGTACACTTGCAAGTTTAGCCCGACCACCCACATTTACAAAAATTAGTTTCGATCTTCCTTTTCCCAAATTTCAATAAAGACAATCCCAAAAGATCCTTCTTATTCTAAAACTTCTCATGGCCAACTTCGTATTTAAATTCATACATCACCAAACCTCATAATTTCATTTAATAGCAAATATTTTCACATAGTATCAAATCATACATATAGCTTTACGAGGTAAAATAAGATTTTGGTTGACATGGAACTTACCTCAAACTCCAAGTTCTCCAAGTTAAGACTCCTACTTTGCTCCTCACTCAAATCACCTTCTATTATTAACATTTCAAAATCATTATCCCTTCAAATTATAAATAATTCCTCTACCCTTTATTACTCCGTAATTATCAATAACAAATGATATATTGATTTAATTCAAACAAATATTAATTTAGTCCAATTATGTTGTGCTGATTTTATTAATCACCTTGTATGATTATATTCCATTTACGAGAATCCAGATATAGTCGTTCAAATAGGTCTAATTAAAAAAATAGCCTATTTCACTTAATTTAAAACGATTAACTAAAGTGACATGTTTAAAACTGAACGGTATAACTCATTACTAGTCTAATGTCAATACTCCATGTTATTATAATCATTCTGTTTAATCTACTTTCATTATTATTATTATTATTATTATTATTATTATTATTATTATTATTATTATTATTTCTTTTGTTAGCGCAACAGCCAATCCAACCCAATAACATAATTATATTACGGAGTAAAATATAGCGCACGTACGGTTCGTTGTCAACCCGATGCCGACGGATCGCAGGCAACAGCGGGAGGTTCAGACGGCGGCGATCTCAGCTTTCTCTATTCCAATGATGATGGCAGCCCGCGACGTCGTGTCAGGCTAGCTACAGCGGGGACTACACTCTTGTTCAGCGGCACCACTTTTTCTCTGTGGATATTTTCCTCCGGCGTGGGAACCAGTCTGGCGGATCCTTTACTTCCGGCAAAACGGAGCTCCCTCTCCTTCTTTTGTTACAACGTAGGTTAAGTCAATCGTCCCTTCATCGTTCGTTGAATATGAATATTATGTATATCTCTAGTTCGCAGGTTGCTTATTCTCGTAGGTTGGAATCGAAGATGACATATATATACACGCAGGTATCACCTCGTCTTTATACCTCGTCCGTTACAAGCTTTAAAGTCGTATAATGATCGGTATTAAGTTGATCCGTTTGGTTTCTTGAAGCTGCTACGGTTAGAGTTCGGACTATTCTTATGCTTATTACTGTTTGATCGTGATTTATGTATGTGTGAATAAATGAATGAAGTATTAAGTACTATGTACTATGATGACATGATGTCCATGGCAGTATGCATATATGTATAACTCGTATAGTACGTGTTTATTGCCACATGCATGTGTCTTGATGTATGTGTAGTATATATGTATTATTACATATGTGGTCATGCGTATGATGTATACGTAGTATATATGTATATATACCTGCTGTAACACCGTCCTCAATTATATTTACTACTATGTAAATCATGTATTGAACCTTACAAAATGGTTAATGAATTTACGAGGTTGTAAATTTTGTTATTACTTTTGCGTGAATAGTAAATCGCACGTGGGGTCCACATCGGGAGCGGGGACCACCCTATATTTCCAAAAACACATATTATATTCATCTTGGGCTAGATAATATGAACATGGTGGTGGACATCGTAGTTGGGCCATAGAAAGGGCATAGCGTTGACCGGTTGGTCAAACAAGGCCCAATTGCCGGTATTGGCAATTTATCGGATAACAGTCCGAAATAGATTTCGGAGACTTCTAAATTTAAGTTGAGAAATATATATTCATTCTAAGGACCCATATGGGTTGAGAACGTGTGATATATTTTATTTGGCCCGATAAAATAAAATATAATTAAAAGAGTCTGAGAAAATACAACTTTGGGAACCGATTGTACAGTTCGGGAAACAAAGCGATGACCTCCCACATAAGTAGGAGCCAACCCACGTTTTTAGCCTTGTTTTTGGACAAGGTAGCCGCACCATCACATGGGAAAGGAGCCATGATGTGATTTGGGAGCCAAACACATTTAAGGGAGTGGACCCCTTTCATGTATGATTGAGAGAAATGACAAAGAGGCATTCTCAATCAACCCTATCCGCAACTTGCTCAAACACGCAACTTGCTACTTGCCTCCTTTCCAGCACATGAGAAGTTCGTCGTGTCTGACGTCAATTCTGGTTTTAAACAGAAGATTTTGGAATTTCCTCGCGCCTCCACAAAAGTTGAATTAGTTCTTTCCCACTCTTGAGAAGATTGGGAAATCTAAAAGTACTAAGATTCTGTAATTTCAACAGGCCTCCCCAAAAGTTGAAATATTTTTCATTTAAAGTTGCATTGTGCTCACTGCTCTTGCTAGTGCCCTTCCAAGTATGGTTCCTTATTCGTCTTTTGTTCAAATATTGTTCAAGTAACGCATATGCAGTTTTGCACTATTCATGAGGTTTACTTCTTAGCTTAACCTTTGTATTGAGATAGAATCACATAAGAACATGGGGAATTAGCATTTCTGCTTTTGTCCAATAGATGGCAAATATATGCACGATGCACCAAGATTCCAATTTCAAAGAACGATCAGTTCAAAGATATCTAGAGCTTTATTGTTGCACAATGTGGGATGGATTCCAAGCAATTATACATGGTTTGGAGGTATAAGGAGTAACGTCAAATGAATAAATTACAAACACAATAATTTAAACATCTATCCCTACTCATTTCGGACATGTTTACTTTATATTTACATGCTAGAGAGTAGTGGTAAGGGTACGGGCCAAAGGTCAGGTAGGGGTGGGCGTAGGGGGTAGGGGTAGAGCGTAGAGGTACGGGGTAGGGGTACAGGTACGAGTACGGGGACGGGTAGGTGTAAGGGTAAATGTGTGGTAGGGGTGTTAGGGGTATGGGGACGAGTAGGGGTATGAGGATGGATAGGGGTTGGGGGTAGCCCCCACATCTTTATTTATATACGGAGTATTTGTGTATATATACATGAATATTTGTGTGTCTATATATGTATAAGGTTATTTTAGACATTTTAATGTTAAATAATGTATTAAATCATATGGAGTTAACATGAACTTAAAATCACTGCTTATTTAATGTGTCGCTTACTAACGCAAGTCTTAATTAACATCATTTAATAATCTTTGAAGTAAATATATCCACAGACTCATCCAAACTAGAACAAGATTAACGAAGTAAGCTTAACTTTTGTATTCCTTTGATCCTTTCTTTTGTGTGCGGATGAGATTACTTATTTTCGGGAGATTTGCAATTTTAGTCTTGTAACTTCCGGTTGTTATCGTTATTGGTCATGTAACTTTAATCACTTACAAAGTTGGTCATGTAACTAATAAATCTTTGCCATTTAAGAACTTTTCCACCGGAAAGAACACTTTCACGCAAACAAATCCAACGTCGGCAATACCTTTTCTGGTATACCATCGCCGGAAAGTGTACTTTTCAGATATAAAGTCCCTAAATCACAATTATTATTGTAAATGACTGAAGTTACAGTAAGAAAATGGCTGAAATTTTATCGCAAATTTCCCTTTATTTTATTATGATTGATTGATCTATTTGAAGAATGCAATTTCAGATTTGCTATAGTAATTAAGAATAATATTCCGAAATTTTATTGTTAATGCTTCAGTAAATATTTTATTGAAACGATTTATATTTTTTATTGTCAATTATGAATAAATCGAAACACTTTATAGATAATTATATAGTTTAATTATTTAAAAAAATTGCCACTTATAATATTTTAGTTGCATTATTTAAATGAATATTCAATTGATTTGAGTATAAGTATTTAGATTGAGAAAAACTAATTCAAACCATGACTGACTATTTTTGCATTTGGTTGGACTTATCAAAAGTGATTTATTTAATAGATTATTGAAAAATTGATTTATGGTAAAAGTAAATAGTGTTTAAGAATAAAAGTGATTTTAATTAAAAGATAAAAGTTGAAATGTTTGGTAAAAAATGTTCGTGGTTTAATAGTTGGAATGAAAATACAAAACTGCCCTTCCAAATATAAGACTCCCTAAATACTAGTATATACTCCATGAATATATTCGTACTTTGTCATTTGTGGTTATTTCAATATGGTAATACATAGAATTATTTTAAATGCAATTCAAATACATGAAAAGTAATACTATTACGTATGAAACTAATGATACTCCGTATATCTATGTCTTATGAAGTTGATTAAAAATTAAACATTATAGCACCAAAGGAAATTACATATTTGATTTTGAAAATCCTTTGAATTGATTGTTAGAACTATTTACGTCATTTATATTTCATAATTCGTGACATCGCGAGCGACATATATGTGGACAAATAATAGAGGTTTTAAGAATAACGTAAGATGAGAAAGCGAGTGATTATTTATTTAATCTGTAACGCTTAACAACTGCAACATGCTTCGTTAAAGTTGATATAGATGCATGGATGAGGACAACACATGCTTGATCTATAGGTGTATTTGCAACCTGCTTATAAATATAATGGAGGAAGCCAAAGGATTGATTTGCTTTGGATTCTAAAAAAAATGCCACCCTAATAAAAAGAATATTTTCAGAAACTCATCCAACTTTCAATGAAAATCTATGAATTCTGTCACCCTATCAACACACAACTTTTATTGTAATAATAATCCACAAATCCTTGAAGTTGTATTAGAAATTGCACCTGAGCGACATAAAAATCCATTCTAAAAGTTTTGGACATTTATATTCTTTTGTTTTAAATAGTTTTTGCTTTTGTTTTGAACATTTTTTGTCTAATATTTTCTTTGGATTTCATACGGAGTGAATTTTATTTGCATGTGCAAATAAAATTAAGGCGGGAACATACAGTTATTGGATAGGCGATTGCATTTTTATATATATAATGATTTTAAAAAATGAAATACGTGGTATAAATTATGATCTCTATGAGCCAAGGAAAGCCCTAAAGCCCCCTTCCAATCCCATCGATTTGAACAATAAGCATGCATCAGACAAGTATTTCATCTGTTCTGCACTAAGGAGAACTTGGTTACATTCTAACCCTGGAGCAGTTATCTAAATTTTGGTTATGTGCACCAAACAATTTGATTAGGTTTTCTTGAAACCTAAACAACGATAAGGAAGATTGACACGGAAGAATAGAAGACGCAGAACATGGAGAAGGGAAGCTCGATCGGGAGATTGATAAAAAAGTTGAATTTTAGGGGAGTTTGGGGATAAATTTTAGGTGACAACTCCTGTACCCATTAAAAAAATTGGGTACCATACCTACCATTCACTTGATTGGTCCAAATCATCATATCATTTTTAATTTAGATTTAAATAATTCAACTGCAACATTCTGATTGTCCATGTGAACGAAGATATGATACCTTATGAGTACCATACAATCTAACTTAATTTTATACTCAAAAGTTGAATTAATTACAAAATAAAATAGAAGCTGGTAAAAACACCCCAAGGCTGCTTCTAGCTTTTGATTGAAAAGTGATTAAATTAGGGAAATTACTCTAAATAAGACTAAAAACGTTTTCAAATTCCAAAATATGACTATCATATATTTATTCCCAAAATAGGACTAATTAATGCCATGTTTTGGCAGTACCAAACTTTAAACATGACAGTATTTTCCAAACTAGTCAGTAATTACTCCTATTTTGGGAATAAAAACATGACAGTCATGTTTTGGAATTTTCAAACTCTTTTAATCCTATTTTGGTAATTTTCCCAATAAATTAAGCAAAAGTTTGTATTTTCAAACACCCTTTTTAGCTTTTGCAAAGCTAAATGGAGAAAAAGTGTTTTTAAGCAAACAATTATAGTGTCATACTTGAATAATGGATTAGGTTTTTACATTCTAACAAACATTTGAATATAATATAGTGTCATACATTTATTATATTTTTAAATCATAATATTTTATTATTCAATTTTTATTTTGTATGTGTCTAAATGATTTTTTTATGTTTCTAATTTTTCAATTATACTCCGTTGTAGTATTTTTAAAGGGATATTTACCTAAATAAGAGTAAATAAAAGGATAATTGCAAAAATAGGACTAACTCTTCGTATTCTACCCTTTCCTTTGTCCTTGATAATAGAATTTTTAAACAATCATTATTGATGGGGTTATGGGACTAGGTCCAGAGCCTAATCGGCCCAGGTCCCGGACTTGGACCAGCAGGCCCAAGCCTAGTGATCCAGGGCTCATTCCGACCCAACCGATCAGGCCCATCAAAGAGTGAAAGCCCAGGGCGGCCTGCCGTCCAGCCCAGCAGGGAGCCTGCCTACCAGCCCAGTCAGCAGCCTGCCTTCCAGCCTACCTGGGAGCCTGCCTACCAGCCCAGTCAGCAGCCTGCCTTCCAGCCTACCCGGGAGCCTGCCTTCCAGCTTACCCGGGAGCCTGCCTTCCAGCCTAGTGGGGAGTCTGCCTTCCAGCCTAGCCAGGAGCCTGCCGACCACCACCCCAGCTGGGAGCCTGCGGTCCAGCCCAGCTGGGAGCCTGCGGTCCAGCCCAGGTGGGAGCCTGCCTCCAGCCCAACGGGGAGCCTGCCTTCCAGCCTACCCGGGAGCCTGCCTCCAGCCCGGTCAGAAGCCTTCCTCCAGCCTAGCGGGAAGCCCACCGTCCAGTCCAGCAGGGGGGAGCTCAAGCGTCCAGCCTGCCAGCCAGGCTGACCTGCCAGCCAGGAAGAGTAACGGCCAACAATCAATGCGCTACTTAATTATGTGTTTAATTCCGTATTAATGTTGTAATTAATTTAGTCATTATTATGTTCGGCAGTTAACATTTGTAATCGCCTATAAAAGGCAATTCGAATTTCAAATACAGATATGCTATTTCTGGCTAACTTTCCATATTCGTACTTTCCTAATTCTTGCTTGAGTGTCGTACGTAGCTTTCCTAAAAGCCTACGAGCGTCCTATTTTGGACCAACATTGGTGCTTTCATTGAGAGCCTCTATTGTCTCTCACATAACTTGAGTAGGAATCACACAGGAAGATGGCCGGAATCTCGTCTCGACGTGACCATGTCTCAGTCCACACCGAGGAGTCCGCCCGGTCTGGCCGCCAGCGTGCCCTCGACAACCATGCACAGGGCAGGAGGGCGGCGCGCCAAGGCGACCTTCGGAACCAATTATCAGGCCACGGCGACCTAAGGGCGACGCTCAACCACACCCAAGGTGAGCGCTCGGTCCGCAGCCGGCGGGGGGGTGGCCGACGTCATGCTCCGCGCATGGACCCGGCTCAACTCAATGCTGGGGTGGAAGCTCTGCAGGAGGCAACTCGGGTTGTAGGGACCTTGGCTCAAAATTTCCAACAGATGGTGTCTGGCGGAAATGTGGATGAGCCTGCCCGTCAACAGACGCCAGCGGATGTGGAGATGTCCTCCAGGCGGCGTGATGAGCGACGCTCTGGATCCAACCAAAACAGGGGGGAAGAAGTCTCCCATCGGCGGGGGGAAGAAGTCTCCCATCGGCGGGGGGAAGAAGTCTCCCAGCAGCCTAGCCGACCCCATCGGCAGACGTGGAGGGGCGCCCAGCAGGGGCGCCCAACGCAGATGGAAGGAGGCGAGCCCTCTCGCCACTCTCACCGGGCGAGCAGTCGGACTGGCTCCACGGAGAGGCAAAACGTGGGGCCCCGACCTCACGTGCACGGACGACTTGGAGGTGCCGCCGGACATGCCCAGCCCCGCGCTGGAGCTGTCCAGGGGAACCCACCGCCGGCCGAGGTGGAAGATCTACGACAGCACCTTGACGAGTTGAGAAGGAGGGTCGTCGGGGGGGAGCCCTACACGGCCGACCTCTGGATACCCGAACCCTTCACCCGGGCGGTCATGGATGCGCCGTTGCCGAGGGGCTACAAGCCCTGCGCCATTGAAGCATACAAGGGCGCTTCTGACCCCCAGCATCATGTATCTCGGTACCTTTCCTACATGGTCATGATGGGGTACGAGGACGCAATCCGATGTCGCGGTTTCTCCGCCACTTTGGATGGCCCGGCTCGTGAATGGTATGACTCTCTACCCGACGGGAGTATCACGAATTTCCGTGAGTTGGCTCAGCACTTTCTCTTGAGGTTCGCGAGCTCCCGAGACGTCAAGAAAAACTTCAGCCACCTGTTCGGCCTAAAACAGGGGAAGAAGGAATCATTGTTGACCTTCCTAGCGAGGTGGAGGGCCGAGTTAGTCAAGGTTCAGGGCCTTGATGACAGGACCGGGGTGGCCATGCTCACAAACTCTATCCGATCGGGCGAGCTTTACAAAGATTTCGTCAGAAGTCCCCCTACCTCGTACGAGGAGGCGCTCAGCCATGCCGACCGGCAAGCCGAGGCGGAGGACGCCTTGCAGAGGAAAAGAGATGAGGAAGAAGGTGCAAAAGAAGAAAAGAAGAAGGAAGCCGGTTCGGGTGCTGAGAAAGCTGACGGCAAAGCTAACAACAAAAACAACAAATACAAAGGTAACAAAAGTAGAGGCAAGGGCAAGGCGGACGTCCCGAGCGGACCGCTACAGCCCGTCAAGCAATTGACTCCACTTGCTCAGCCGGTCGGGGCCATCCTCGACTACGCGGAGGAGCAAGGTTTAGTCGACTTTCCTGAGGAGTGTGATGCGGTGACTGCCAATCGCAACCACGACCAATATTGTCGATTCCATCGGAGAGCAGGGCATGATACAGATGATTGTGTCATTCTCCGGTGGCAAATTGAAGAACTCATCCAGAAAGGGTACCTGGGACAATTCGTTGGCAAACAAGGAGGCATCCCACAGAAGAGGAGCCTGACGTGGCAGCGGTCCGACCAAGCTAGCACGTCAAAGGACACACCGCCTGCCAAGAAGCGGGAGCTCGGCGCCTTCTCCGAAGAAGACGATGCCGACCTAGGGAACGGCCCCCGGAAGTACCATCGATGTTCGTTCATATTCGGGGGACCCCAGGGAGGCGACACCTCTGAAGAGCGGAAGCAGTGGGCCCGAGCCCTATACGTCGGGGAGATAACCAGGGCTCCCGCAGACAAGAGGGTGAAGAGGGACCCCATCTTCTTCACCGACGCAGATTTGCCACCGATGCCTCCGCCGCACAGGGATGCCTTGGTCATCAAGGTCAAAATCAACAACACGATCGTCCAGCGAGTCCTGGTGGACAATGGGAGCTCCGTTAACATCATGTACTATGACACCTTCCAAGGTCTCGGGCTGGACCGAAAAGACTTGATCCCGGTGAGAACCCCACTCTCGGGCCTCACCGGGGACTCCATTGAGTCGAAGGGCAGCATAGTCCTCCCCGTGATGGTGGGCTCCGAGCCCTGCGTATCCAAGTTAGACGTCGAGTTTATCGTCGTACGCCTAACTTGTGTGCATAAGATCATCATGGGAAGGCCGGCCCTGGAAGACCTCAGATGTGTGATATCCCAGGAGCACCTATGCATGAAGTTTCCCACTCCGAATGGCGTCGGAGTCGCCAGGGGAGATCAGCGAATGGCGAGGAGCTGCTATCTGAAAGCTTGCAAACAAATCGGTCAAAAAGACTTGAGGGTCCACACTATCAACAGCAAAGCCATGAAGTATGAGGAGGGTCAGCCCCGCGCTGAACCCACCTCAGACGTGGAGGAGATCCAGATTGACCCCGAGAGGCCGGAGCGGAAGGTCAAGATCGGGACCGGGCTCCCGGCCGGCTTGAGGGAGAATATTATCCAGGTACTTGTCCTTTTTAGCGTTGTCTTCGCGTGGGGACCGGAGGACATGCCTGGCCTTGACCGAAGCATCGCTGTCCATCGGCTGGCGGTCAATCCAACGGCGAAGCCCATCCAGCAGAAAAGAAGACACCTCTCAACCGAGAGGATGGAATTCGTGAAGAAGGAGGTCAACATGCTCCTGAGTATCAAGCATATCCGGGAGGTCTTGTACCCGGTCTGGCTGGCAAACATGGTCCTGGCCCCGAAGCCGCCAACCTGGAGGATGTGTGTTGATTACACCGATCTCAACAAGGCATGTCCGATGGATCCATTCCCATTGCCTAACATCGACCAACTAGTCGATGGGACGGCCGGATGTGATCTCCTTAGCTTCATGGACGCTTTTCGAGGATACCATCAGATTTTCATGCATGAAGAAGATGCGGAGAAGACCTCGTTCGTCACCCCAGAGGGGATTTTTTGTTATCTTGTCATGGCCTTGGGGCTGAAGAACTCTGGGGCGACGTACACGAGGATGGTGGCCAAGGTATTTCGGAAGGTGCTCGGAAGGAACATGGAGGCGTATGTTGACGACATGATCGTCAAGAGCACCCGGGCGTCCGATCATGCAGATGATTTGGCAGAGATCTTCGGGATCATGAAGGCAGTCCGTCTGCGCCTGAACCCGAAGAAATGTACCTTTGCCGTCTAAGGAGGCAAGTTCCTGGGGTACATGGTCACACGGAGGGGGATTGAGCCAAATCCTGAGAAGGTAAGGGCAATACTTGACATGGAACCCCCGAGGTCAGTGAAAGAAGTCCAGATTCTCACCGGCCGGCTAGCAACCCTCGGACGCTTCATGTCCAAGTCCGCCGAGAAGTCTCTACCCTTCTTCCAGGTCCTAAAGAAACAAAATGGTTTCGTCTGGAATGTTGAGTGTCAGCGAGCCTTCGACGACCTGAAGAAGTACCTCCTCTCTAAGCCTTTACTCAACAAGCCGGAGAGGGGGGAGACATTAATCCTTTATCTTGGGGTTTCCCAAGGCGCAATCAGTTCCGTGCTGGTTCGCGAGGAGGAAGGCGTTCAGCGTCCCGTCTACTATGTGAGCAAGACCCTCCAGAATGCTGAGCCCCGGTACACCCCGCTCGAGAAGACAATATATGGCGCCTACATCACCGCCAAGAAGTTGACGCACTACTTCCAAGCGCACCCGATCAGAATCCTGTCGGACCAACCCCTAGGTGCCGCTCTGAGGGCGCCCGGCACAACCCGGGTAGTGAAGTGGTCGATGCTCCTCAACCAATATGAGGTTGACTTCCAGCCTCGGACGTCCATCAAAGGCCAGGGTCTGGCTGATTTCATTGTGGAATGCACGGCCCGAGAAGTGGCAGATAGGCAACAAGAGAGCAATGAACAATGGTGGACTCTAGCGACTGATGGGTCGGCAGGAGCCAAGGGATGCGGGGGCGGAATCGTCCTCATCTCACCCGAGGGATTCCGAGCCTACTATGCCTACCGCTATCTTTTCAAAGTCTCCAACAATGAGGTGGAGTACGAGGCCCTACTGTCTGGGCTACGATTGGCAGCCGCCATGGGAGCAGAGTGGATAACGGTGAACTGTGACTCCCGCCTGGTGGTTTCCCAGGTCAAAGGTGAGTTCGAAGCGAAGAAAGAAAGAATGATGAAGTATCGAGATGTTGTTCGGGAGTTGCTCGGGTTGTTCAAGCAAGCAGAGTTGATCTGCATCCCGAGAAATCAAAACTCCGATGCAGACCTCCTCTCAAAGCTATCCCAAAGGTTACCTGAACATATATCGAGAATTGCACGCATTGAGGAGATGACGACCTCAAGCATATCAGCCTCACCGTCCATTGACGTCCTTCCCCTGCAACCAGTCGCCTGGTGTTGGGTGGATGACCTCCTGCGCTACATAGCCGACGGGACGCTCCCCGATAAAGAGGAGGAGGCAAGGTTAGTCCGGCGACGAGCTCCGGCCTACGTCGTCTTGGATGGGAAGCTGTACAAGAGGTCCTACAATGGGACCTTGCTAAAGTGTTTACGCCCACATGAGGCGGAAATGATCGTCTCTGAACTCCATGGGGGCGTATGCTCCGCCCATCAGGGGGCAGGCACGTTAGCTAGGAAGGTCGTCCTCCAGGGATACTTTT